CCGCCGCCCCGACCCCGCCACATCCGCGGGAACCGCTGCGGCCCCTGCCCGGCCCTGGGGCTTCCCTCCTCGCGGCCTCGGGTCCGAGACCTCCCCTCCCCTCCCCTCCCTTCCCCTGGGCATCCCCGACGCTGCCTCTCCCCTCCCCCGCTCCTGCCCTTCCTCTTTGGCCTGTGAGCCCACTTTTTCCTCTCACCTTTATGGGCTCTCTTTTCTAGGCCCCTCTCCTTTTTTCCTAAAACGGGAAACAAAAACCCTTTTTGCCGCAAATGAAATTTTTCCGCGTAACTCTCTTTGCTAAAGCGAGAGACCCTGGTAAGGAGTGAGGCGCTGTGCAGGAAGGGGGTGCGGAGGATCCCCAGGCTCTCGCTCTGGGAGGGCTGGGCAGGGGTCCGCCTTTCAGCCTCACTCGTGTCGCCCGCTTGCAGGTGGAGACTGGGGGGCCTGAGGCCGGGGGACCGGTGGCCGGGGGGCCTGTTTCAGAGCGTACAGACTGCAGTGAGACTCTGTGCGGGCCGGCCCCGGTTAGTTAGCGGGAACTGCCTTCATTTGCTGAGTGTATTGTGACATACCCTGTGCCTCGGGGGACAGCTCCCTTGACCTTGTCGGCTCCTCCTCCCTGGCTGTCTGTCCCCCTCTGGAATTTCCCAGAGGGGTCACCGAGGGACTCCACCGGGAAAGCTCAGACCCATGCTCCTCCCTTTATGTTGGAGGCGATTTCTAAGCTGACTATTTACGTGTGCTTTATCCGTTTTCCATTTTAAATGAATTTTCCTTTCACCCCAGAAAGACAGGACGGACTCCAGTGTGAGAATGGCGGTGACTTTGGAAGAAGCTCCGTGGCTGGGCTGGATCCTAGTGAAAGCCCTGATGAGGTTTGCCTTCATGGTCGCCAACAACGTGTTTGCTATTCCATCCTACCTCTTGTATGTGCTCATCCTTCAGCCTCTTCGAGTGCTGGACAGTCAGCTCTTCTGGTATATTGAAGGAATCATGTTTAAGTGGCTTTTAGGAATTGTGGCTTCTTGGGGATGGTATGCTGGATATACAGGTAAGAATGAGAGCACTTTTGTTTAATGCATAGGAAAAAATGTGTAATGTTATGCTTAAGTCAGGAGCCATGATTAAATATATATTGTACTTTGAATTGAAGATGCTTTATGCTTTGATTACTGAAAACGTAAATAGAAAATAATTCTATGGAGGTATTCTTCACAATCCTAATTTATTAGGATGCATGATATTTTCTGAAGTGTAATTTCATAATTATATATTTGTAAATTCTGTAAATAGTATATTTTGAACATGATTGACTTTTTTTTTTTATTAAAACTGTTCTGTAAAATCTCTCCTGGAGAAATACAAATGAGTTTTGTAGCACTTGAGGGCTTATAAAAATGAAGAGGTAAAATATTTAGCCTATAAATATTAGGAATTTAGAAAAGCGACTGAGCCGTATTTGTGCCAAGATAGTAAGTTTTTTCATTTAATATAGTGTTGTAATGCATTGACGACATTGTAAACCAAACAGAACATGGGCTTTTCTGTTATGTATGTTTCTTTTGTTTACTGGAATCTACATTTTATCTCATAAATCTGTCTTAGAATATTAAATATAAAAAATGAAGTTTGTCTATATTAAGCTAATCTATCTTTGGAGTGCATTTAAGTAGGTCTTTATTTCTGCTTTTAATTGGATTTTGGAAAACGGGTAATGCTGTTTTGAATCAGACTTTTGTAGATCTAAATGAGAAGTAGTGTTTATTTTCTGTTTATAAACATTATGTGCTTTGAGAACTTGTACCTTTGCTGTGAAAATTCTGTATTACATTTACTTGACTTTTTTCCCCTAATTAAAAAAATGCATTGAGGATTCTAACACTTACCTTGGATATGGAGGCTTTTGTCACAGAATTTTATAACTGGTAGGCTCCTTAGAGATCATGCCGCAGATACTGCGGTCTGTAGTTCATGGCCTGGAAGAGTGAGGAGAGTAGTCTCTGGGTCGAACAGCAGGGCAGTTCCCATTTAAAATTCTGTGTCTCTCTCTTTCCTGCCCAGGCCACATCTGCAGATTTTATCCATACGCACGAGAAAAGGACTGACAGCACATAGCTTTTGTGGAGTCTGACAGACTCTAGCTATGTCAGAGTGCTCTCAGTTGCTCCAGACGAAGCCTTTTTTCCTTCTGGCAATGCCATTTCTTATTCTGCAAGAGCTGAAGCCCCTAGGATACTGTATGCATGCTCCCTTGTCATGGGTCTTGTCAAAATCCCAATGCTCGTTGGATACAGTAGGGGAGCTTCTAGTCCTTTTTTAGGACATAGTGGTAACAGTAGCAGTGATGGAGTGAAAAACGAAGTTCCGGTCTGTGGTGCTGAACTCTTAACCTGAATTGCACTGCTGTCTTAGAATTGCTTTGCTTGGCGTAGTTGGAGCTTCCCCAAATATGTTCTGTGGCACTAGCGGCTTCGTGTTTGTACAGTACATTTAAGTTGGCTTGTTTTAAATGAGCACATAGTATTTATATATGTAGGCTCTAGAAGTTCATTCTGCTTGAACACGATGAAGTTACCGATACGTTTGTGCTTGTGTGTGTGGCGTAGTCATGTGTAAGTGTTCACCTGATGAGAAACTGGGAAAAATTAGTTTGTCCTTGACCTGGACACTCTCAGGAGTTCAGGGGTGCTGCTTGAGGTTACAAGTAGTTGTCCTGGGGCCACAGATGACTGCAGTGCATTTTTAGGCATATTTTCTTGGGGTGTCTCTTCCTTGCTGACTTCTGCCGCCTGCTTGAAAGGGGTTGTGGCGTGATCGGCATATTTTCGTCTTTCTGAAGCATCTGCCCTTCTTCAGCCTACTGCACTGACAATTGGATCAGTCTGTCTCATTTAAGTACAGAATTCTTTAGTGTACATGTTTTAAATGGTTTTCCCATAGGTCGAATACTTGGTTCGAGAGTGTCTGGTCATGGCCTGATCATAATAGAACACAAAGAGGTCAAACAAACGTAGAAATGGATTTCAAGAAGCAAGCGTAAACGGGTCGGTGAGTCGGAGTACCATAAAGCGTCTAGGGATTGCAGTAGCCTCTTATGGATTATCTGTTTCGTTTCTTCCTTGGTGTCAGGAGGATGATGGGCCGGTTAGGGTTTGGTTTTTCCCTTTCTGTACGCTGAGTTTCACAGATGGAAAATTGAACGTTGCCAAAGAATTTCTGCTCAGTAGACCTAGTATGTTCATGTTTTAGAATAAAAATTGTCTAAACTTGGTTGAAAAACCACTCCTGGTGAACTCTTATTAGCCTTAGATATTAATTAGTAAGCTGAATGTTGGAGCCCTGGTGGCACAGTGGTCAAGAGCTCAGCGGCTAATCAAAAGGTCTGCAATTTGAATCCACCAGCCGCTCCTTAGAAACCCGGTGGGGCAATTCTCCTCTACCCTGTAGGCTCGCTAGGAGTCGGAATCAACTCGATGGCAATGGGTAAGCTGAATATTAAATATTAGTATAGAATATCAGTTTTTCAAATTGTGACATTCAGTCTAAGACAAGTCAGTTACTCAGCTTTGCTGCTGGGGACTTAAGTTGATTATCTAACCTACACTGCCGCATATGGTAGCCTCTAGACAAACGTGGCTTTTTAAATTTAAATTACTGAGGTGAAGTAAAATTAAAAATTCAGTTCTTCGTTTGCACCAGCCACATTTCAAGTGCTCAGTGGCCACTTGTGGTTAGTGGTGACTGTATTGGACAGCTGAGACATAGAACATTTCCACTGTAACAAGGTTCTGTTGGACAGAGCCAATGCATGAATATTAAGAATGACTTTCTCCCTTAAGAAAAAATACAGTTGATCTTTATACAAGAACATCTTTCTCTAGTTCCAAACAAATTTTTTTTGGAGGAGATAGGAAGATTTATTAAAGTTTTGTAAATTTGTCTCTTAATCTGAGGCAAACTTCACAAAAATGAGTTCCTTAAAGATTGAATAATACTCGTGTAACCCACACTCGCACGTGCTTCGTGGATGGGGAGTGGTGAGGCTAGCGAGCGCACAGCTTGGACGAGCGTTCTGATACGTGGTTTTCACTCTGAGGGGGGTTCTGCCTGTGAGCACGGAAGATGCAAAAGGAATTTTCTGGTCTTTCTGCCCGTTTCTGACCTTTCGTCTTGTCAGGGGAACACACTTCTTCGAAGAACTTTGAGGACATTGGGGTTGGTTTGTCCCTAGCTTGCTATTAGATGGTGAGATGGCTGCTGTCACATTGTGGGAAGCGCCGTATAAATGTCTCACACTGAGGACAAGTTTTATACTGCCTTTGTCCTAATACTTCAAAGGCAAACCAGAAGATACTAGCTTAACCAATGATCCATTTTTGCATGCTTTTTTCAAGTCTTGGGATAAATCCGCCTGCCTCCCCAGTTAGGTGAAGATTTGCAAATTTCAGAGAAGTTTTTTAAAAAGTAAAATGTGTTTATTTAAAATTATTTTTGTTCACTCAATAAAGTCATTGTTTTCCATCCAAACACATTTAATTAAAATCTCTGTACACAAAGTAGTTTGAAATACTCATTGTAAGTGGAAGTTCCAGAATTTCTATATAGGATGAGGGTCTTATGGAGCACAGTCGGCTTGGACGGGGGCTGGGGTGAGAGAGGACTTGCTCCCAAGCTCTTTGGTTTAGCAAACCCTGTTTTCCTTAGATTAGGTATTTACTTGGGGTGGCTTTAGGGAAAGACGATGGAGATAAGGGCTAGCTTCCTCCCACGCCCCGGGTAATAGCTGCCATGATGGTACCACAGTCTGGTTTTTTGATTATTTGATAGTGTCTTGCATTTTTGGGTGGGATACAAATTCAGCGTGGGAGAAAGATTAATTATTAGGAATTATATCTGACCCTTGAAATTCTGGAGAAAGTTTTTAAAATATATTTTCTACAGCAGTGTTTTTCAACCTTTACGTCATAGAATCAGCGAAATGTGTTAAGACAAACATGTTTAAAAAGTGAAATAGAATAGAGTTGAAAAGGAAGGATCAGCAAGGTGGGTATCTGTATACTGGGTTGTGCTCCAGAATGTATTTGGTACTGTGAGCGCTGTCTACACCATTTGAAGGGCAGTGTTCTGGGGGAGACCGCACTCTGGTGTCAGCTGTCTGGATCTTGCTTTAACGCCTCTACTCACCAACGGGAGTGAGATCCTCACCTGCTCAGTGTGCACCAGGCCGGGGGCTCCTTAAAGACGGGGACACGGTCTTCTTTGTGACCCTAGAGCACAGCTTTTTGCCTGATGCTTACAGAGTGCTCAGTGTCTAAGTGTTCCTTGAACTATCCGCTCATTCTTTCCTGGTCCCAGCTGAGAGGCCTTAGCTAACTACCTTCCTGGAAAGTCTGATATCAAGGTCATTGCAATCCACACACTACAAACCCTGAACCAGATTGTGTTTCTCATGTACGTATACGTATGTTTCCTACAACATTTACTTATTTATATTATTTCTATTATTATTTATTTTTATATTTATTATTTTATTTATTTTACACACCTTTATTGAGCTTCTGGAGGCGCTGAGATGCTCAAGACATAATTTTTGATTTTAAGGAGCTCTTAGCAGCCTATATGGGGAGCCTAGCAATGAAAATATATTGGCATAGTGCTGTAATAGAGATATATCATGGGGTAAAAGGGGCGGGGCCCCTGATCCAGCATCAGAGGTAGGTAGTGGAAGTGAGGGAACAGGGAACTTAGAGAAGGAGAAAGAAACCAAAAGGTTTAAAAAAACAAAAAACAAGCCCATTGCTGTCAAGTCGATGCTGACTCATGGTGACCCCATGTGTTACTAAACTGAGCTCCGTAGGGTTTTCTTGTCTGTAATCTTTATGGAAGCAAGTTGCCAGGCCTTTCTTCTGTGGCACCATTGGGCGGGTTCAGACCACCAACCTGTGCTTAGTAGTCCAGCGCAAACCGTTTGTACCACCCAGGTACTAGAGAAGGAGAGGCTTCAAATTTCTTTTTTTCCCTCTTCTTCTCGGGAAGTATTTCTTTGTTTGA